TCTCGCATTTCGCCTTGCGCGACGAGCATGCTCGATCCACGAACATACACACAAACGACCACGATCGAAAGTCGAATCTCTGGTCTGGGGGTGAGATCGCACGAAATCGCGGGGAATATCACGGGGGAAGCAACGCCTCGTGACAGGAGGCGTTGAAATTCTCGGTGGCACAAACCGACTACGACGACGACGACGACGACGACGAATCGATTGTCGCGATCGAGACGGGCGATTACGCGGCCCCACTGTATTTCGATCACGTAACACGGACAATCGTGCAAATCGTGCGATCATCCAATTACGCGGCTCTATTTATCAATTAATATTCAAGGCGTGAAGTAAAAGGGAGGATACAATCGCGCCTGCATTGTCAACGGACAACGAGCATCCTCTGTTCCTCTCCCCTTTCCCCTCCTGGCTCAAGACGGCCAGCTCGTAAATCCACCCCTGTCGTAATTACCAGGACACAGTGGTACGAGGTCCGTTGATCGCGATGCTGCCAACGCTTTCATATCCGGTGCTGATTTATTAAGCCGCTTTCATCCTTGGAGGCTCGCGTGCCGGGCCATCGTAATTAAATCGTGGTTCGCCCCATTCCAGAAATTGGCGTTTCGATTCTCCCCCCTCTCTCTCTCTCTCTCTCTCTTTCCTCTTGAATTTTCTCTCTTCTTCCTTTTCTTCTATCTTCTAATGTCGGTGTGTCGGGGTAATATCGTTACGATTACGTAAATACGAGCGGATTTACTATTCCATCAAATTCGAAGCGGGGAAAAGGCCGAGTTGGGAAAATACACACCGAGGGTAACGAAACACAAGGGTTATCTCATTTCCATTCGTTTCACATTTTCCTCGGGTTTCTGCGGTTTTCGAAAAAAATCGAAAACGGTGGAGAAAGGTAGGAGGAGAAGGTGGTGGACGATTTTCAAAGATTCAACGGGCGACGAGCAATTATTCGGCGTCGCGTGCTCGTGACGCGCGTAAACGCAATCGCCGCGTCACGGCTCGCTCCCCGTGTGCGGTTAACAAGTTATCCGCGTGGCCCGGCCGGCCATTGAATAATGTAGAATTTAATTTCGTCCCGGTTTCCCCCGTCGTCGTCATCGAGCCACCGGCGTTGATTCGCGCCGTGAAACATTTAGCGGCCGTGAAATTTCCCATGCGACCTGCCGCTACGAGAGACCTGCCGCTACGAGAGACCCGCCGCCACGCCATGCTATTCCACGCCACAGTGCCGTAGTATTTGTCGATGGACCGAGGAGAACACGTGCGCTCTTTCCGCGATTCGTGCCTCGAATTTAGGAGGGCCGGGGTTCGAGGCGAAGACAAGGGAGGGAAGGGACGAGAGAGGAAGAAAGAAAAAAAGAAGAAGGGCGAATGTCCGACTGTTGGAAGATGGGAGGGAGGGAGGAGAGTGGGTATAGAGTGTCGGTGAAGAAGAGACAAGGGTAGCAGGTTGAAAGAGGGTACGTGGAAAAACGCCAGTTTACGGATTAACGGGGGTGTTGCAACGACGATGCACTCGCCGGATATCCAAGCGTCCGGACAGCTCGTGAGATATTCAACGGACCGAATATCCGGCCAGATTATACGATTTTCCTTTTTTGTCACCGTGTCCCTTTCTCCGACCCTCCGTGTCTCCCTATTTTTTGTCTCTTTCGTCTCGATTTATTTCCCTTTACTTTCTCTCTCTCTCTCTCTCTCTCTCTCTCTCTCTCTC